CAAAGTAATGGAAACAATACATTGTATCTATGCCTCTCTATTATATCTGCAAGCTGATAAGCCTTTATATAGAGAAACTATATCTTCTTTGTTAAGGTTAAAAAGTGTGAAAGTAGGCAGCACAACTTCAATATTTGTTGGCTGTCGATGACTTTTTTTTCAAGTGGGTCATCCACCTTTATAGCAGGAGTCCTTTATTAGGAAGGAATTATATTGTGTTATAGCCTTCCTTGTAGAACAAGGTTTGTATGTGTATATGTTGTAAATCCTTGTTGAATTATAAACAAGTATTTTGGGTGTACAATCCTACTTGGCATCTAGAGCTAGGTCGTAAAAGAACAAAACCCTAAGCATATTCCGCTGCTATCTGCAAGGGCTCTGCAAGTGAGTGTTTTTTGTATTTATACTAATCACATGAGTTTGTTGTACCAATGCTGCTAGTGGTTCCTAAATTTTATTGGAATTATACGTTTAGATTTATACAATTACATTTCTAAATATTATTTACGACAACAACTTGGATTTTTTAAATGGTTATAAGTACTTGTAAAACGATACTTCAGTAATCAAACTACTAATCGATTCATGCTCATTCCGATTCCATCATCCGATTGCGTAATGTTTATCTGAAACGATTCCCTAATACACTCTTCCACTTTTGGTTGAAATAATGGCCCAAGGCCCATAACTAAGCAGAAGCCCAATTGGCCCAAGGGGGCGACTCTGTAAAAGAAATAAGGAAAACTAGAGCAGACCAAGAACTCCATTTACAAACCCACAAAACCCTAACCCTAGCATCTATAAAAACAAAGATAACCATTTCTCCGCAACCCCAAACCTTCACTCCTGCCGTTTGCACTCTCTCCTCCCCCCTTCCCCTCCATTCTTCTCACAACCCAAAACACCCAATCATGGCAGAGAGACCAGCTGAGAGAGGCCGCGGCGGATTCGGTCGTGGATTTGGTGACCGCGGTGGACGCGGTGACCGTGGTGGACGCGGCCGCGGACGCCGACCCGGCCGACGCGAAGAGGAAGAGAAGTGGGTCCCAGTGACGAAGCTCGGCCGCCTTGTGAAGGAGGGCAAGATCCGCAGCCTGGAGCAGATCTATCTCCACTCCCTCCCCATCAAGGAGCACCAGATCATCGACACTCTCGTCACCCCCGGCAGTCTGAAGGATGAGGTCATGAAGATTATGCCGGTCCAGAAGCAGACCCGGGCCGGTCAGCGAACCCGGTTCAAGGCCTTCGTGGTGGTCGGGGACACCAACGGGCACGTTGGGCTCGGCGTGAAGTGCAGCAAGGAGGTGGCGACTGCGATTCGCGGCGCAATTATATTGGCTAAGTTGTCTGTGATTCCGGTGAGGAGGGGTTACTGGGGTAACAAGATTGGTAAGCCCCATACAGTTCCGTGTAAGGTGACCGGGAAGTGTGGGTCTGTCACGGTGAGGATGGTGCCCGCTCCCCGTGGTTCCGGGATTGTGGCTGCCCGTGTGCCCAAGAAGGTGTTGCAGTTTGCTGGTATTGATGATGTCTTCACTTCATCCCGTGGCTCCACCAAGACCCTTGGCAATTTCGTCAAGGTATATATCTTTCGAGACTTTCGATTATTATTGATACAAAATTGTGTTAATTTATTTATTTGATATTGTTTGCATTGATTTATATATATATATATCGTTGTGCTAATTTGAAATGTTTGACAAACTGTTTATTCATATCGTTGACAAAGAGCTCTTTACTCTGAGAATTAGGCTTGTTGCAGTGTGTTGGCTGATGTATGATCACAGTGTTTATATCCATAAAATTGTACTTGTGAAGATTTGCAATCTTGGCCCGTTGTAGCAAGCTATTTGTATTGTTTAAAATGTGGATTGCTTTGTTTTTAAAAGTTGAAATCTTTGTTGAAACCCTTCCTGCAATACTTTTAGTTGAAGTGATACATTATCTTGATATATCGTATTGGGATATGATGATGTGTTTTCTATATGTCGTCATGATACAAGACACGAGATTACAAATTTCGTTTACCTTTACTTGTGATGGTAACATGAAATTCAAAGCCCTGCTACCAAGTTTTTGCGTGTTCAGTCTATGGTTCTGACTATTAATTGGGCTAGTCAATACTATGTCGTGAGTCATTAATATAGAGGATAATACTTGCTCATAGGTGATGGCTGCATGATGCCGAAGTTATGTTTTCAAATGGTGCGGAGATCAGTGATTTAGTATTAGGATAATCAAACCCCTTAACATGAAAACCGAATAAAGCTACATTGCTGATTCCTTTGTAGTTGTGCTAATTCTTAATTTGCCGTTTCCCTCAGTACAAACCCAATTTTTTTTTTTGTTTTTGTTTTGGTCTTTTTGATGTGATGACAAAACTGGTGGAAGTGTTTGTTTAATTTCATATTGTGTGCATGATATCTGATCACAGTGTTCTTTCAATTGTCGCAGGCCACCTTCGATTGCCTCCTGAAGACTTATGGTTTCTTGACGCCTGAGTTCTGGAAAGAGACACGCTTCAACAGTTCTCCGTTCCAGGAGTTCACCGACTTTCTGGGAAAGCCAACTAAACCCCTTCTTATCGAAGATGTTGAGAAAGTAGAAGCCTAGTGTGAGAGATCCTAGTATTCCTTTAAAGATGAAATCTTGGTTTTGAGTTTTCTAGGTTTGAAGACATTAATATGTTGTCTTTTTTGTCTAAGAATTATTAACGTTTATAATTTGTCTTTCTTTGGTGGTAATTTTGATCTATGTCGGATTCAATCATGTTACCTTGCTGAAATTTTTGGATTTACAAGACCTCCGATACTTTTGTTCTGTTCTTTAAGCATTTACCCCTTCTTACTAATGTGTTCATTTGCCTAGTAAGCCTTGTGTGGTGTTTCATACTAACTCTGTAGGACATAATATTTTGGTATGGAACACGCAATTTAAGGGAGGCAAACCTAAGGTCGGGGATTAAAAATACCACTAGAGCATAGTACAATTCGCTCCCGTTAGTTTTGTTGCAGCATTATCCTTTTCTCAAAATTACATCATCGTGACCCTTATTTAAGTTAAAGATGAGCAAAGCATATGGTGAAGTTTTCTGAGATTGAAGATGGAGAAGCTTGGATTCGGTGGGAGTTGGATTGATTTTAGGGAACTTTAATGAAAAGCATCTGGTACTGTTCACTTTAACGAAAAACCACATTTTTACACTAAAAAGTCAATCCTGTTACTATTCACTTTACGCTTTATTTTGTCCTTATCATTAAAACTCAAAGTTTTCAAGCTCTTTTCATTAGTTTTCCTTTGATTTTATGATGATGTTACAGGAGTTTCCTACTCCTTGCTAGTGACGTCTCCACAGGTTACTTAACACCCTTCCGTGGTCTCCGACACTTATAATCCCCCTTCCCTCCTGCAATGTGCTGAAGGACTTGCAAGTTTGGTCATTAAGGGTCCGTTTGGTACGTTGTATAGGACATGTTATGAGCTTTTAAAATGGAATTAAATCTTAAGATCGTTGTTATGGGCTGCCATGGTTGATGGAGCTTTTGCAGGCCGAAATGAATTGATGTGCGTTTTGAGTTGGATTTGGGATATAGCCATGTCAATCATAGATTTGAGTGTCATTTGCAACATAGACAAGAAAAATATTTCTTATAACCATTTTTCTATCTCTACACAATCGTGTTTATTCATGTCACTTAATTCTTCTTTTTTTCATTTATTCAATTCAAAGGTGTTGAAATGGAAAGTAAATAGGGTAAAATATCACAAATAGAGTGAAATCTGTATTTGGTGGATTATCCTAAAATTTGACAACTCCTTTCCACTGCGTCTGCCTCTGTTTAGCTGCAAAGGATCCCACAACCAAGAGTTTCCAAGAAAGATAAACTAAGACACGTGGCAACAACCCGTTGGCCATAATATTTATGTCGATAAGGAAGTGGATGATGGTCTTCCAAGAAACACAGACTCTTGCCGCTTTGGACTTTAAACCAGCTCAGAATTCACTTCACTCGTACTTCAAGTCAGATAGAACGATAGAAAGAGGCAAAAACTAAAAGCTAACATTTGCAGCGATGGCATCCATGACCATGACAGCCGCCTCATTCCTGACTGCAGGCTCAGCCTCAACCATCGCCAAACCTTCAACTCCCAGCCGCCGGAGCCTCGTCGTGGCCAAGGCCGCAGCCAGAACCTCAGAGGGGGAAACAAAGAAGGAAGGGAGCAGCAACAGCAGTGGAAGGAGGGACTTGATGTTTGCGGCTGCGGCTGCGGTGGCCAGCTCTCTTGCCAAGGCTGCCTTGGCGGATGAGCCAAAGAGGGGGACCAAAGAAGCCAAGGAGAAGTATGCTCCTGTTTGCGTCACCATGCCAACTGCTCGTATCTGTCGCAACTGAGGAAACCACTACGTACTTTCATTTTCTTTGATTCAGTCACGCATGGTGGTTGTATTATAATTGTCGTACAACTTTTGTATGATGCTCTTGTAATTTTTGTTGGGTCAACCCTGTTAATCTGCAAGCCTTCTTCCTCTTCTCTTATTACGTGTTTATGTGACACAACGGTGCGAAATAGAGAGGCTGGTAGCTCAAGTAGTTAAAACGCCTCTAAACCAAGATCTTGAGTTAATATCGCTTTTATTAAACAAACACCACCATATAGAGGTTCTGGAATCAAATTCACTATTTTAGGTACTGAAAAAAGATTAGTTCTATCGTCTAACTATGGAATTAAGATCCAATCCAATATTGCAAACCGAAGCGTTGGAAGCGCACGTCGCTTGATGAGAGAGAGACCGATGATATACAACTGTGATAGGCAAGTTTTATACCAGGTCCAGGTATGCCCAAAACACCTCAGTGAAGAAACAAACTGCGAGTATGTGCAACTCAGTAGTAAGGTCACACATACAAATCCTCCGTTGTCCAGCAGCTTCGCATAACATACATTCTAACTTCTTTTTTTTCTTTTGGATTGAGAGTCCGTCGAAAACATGTGAACAATCTAAACAGCCGAAAACCGAGATTTTATTAAACCATAACAATAACTAAGGATCAGGATTTTAGCCCGAATACAGGAAACACAATCCAAGCTAATTATACTACTCGGTCCAAGAAAAATCACAAGACGCAAAACTTTCATACAAAATAATTCCAAATCCAGTACCCCTAATTCGTTCCTTTTGTTACCGAAGAGTAACAGCTTGGAGAGAGAATCAGGGACATTGTCCATCATTCGCCTTGGCAACTTTGCCCGGCAGCATCAAAGACTGCAGAACAATGTTCGTTGCAAACTCATTGGCTTTTCCCATTTTTCTGGGAAACAACAAAATTGCGAATAACTTCCATTGCTAACTGGTGAGCATTCTTATTCTGCAGCTTTGCAAGCTCATCCACAGCTTCATACGTCTCCTTATCAGCAAAAAGTTTCAAGTTGTAACGTGCTGGTGACGCCTCTGGCCCTTCCCATTTGTTAACCAACTCTTGAAGTTTTTCAAATCCCTGACAACAATACCAATTAGAGTCACAACCATAGATTAAACCAGTATTTGAGATAAAACCACCACCTTCATCCTTGGAGGGCCTAAATATAATCTTATAATCTTATTTTACAACTTACCAAGCGGTTTGTGAAGTCGCCGAATGACTCTTTAGATTGTCGTTTACGTTTCCAGTAATAAAACAAAGGTTCGAAAACCTTTTCAAGGTCTTGAACCTTGACCTTGTTCATGAAGGATTTTGCGATTGAGGTTTGATTGGGTGTTCCTCCAAGCCAGATCTATTTGAACACAAGCAGAGAAGTGAAAAAAAACGCTCAGTTGCTTTCTTGATAATCTGGACTTGAGCACGATCAATATTGCGACAGGTGTGCTGGAATTTGAATTACCTGATAGCTATTTGGACCATCACCAACTAGTCCAAGTTCAGCCATGTATGGCCTAGCACAACCATTAGGGCATCCAGTAATCCTTATAACTAGTGATTCATTGTACTTCAGACCAACCTGAAATCCAAAAGTAATATTTACCGCATGCAATCTAATTCATTAACAATAAATGATCTTGATTTTCCACCTTTTGTTAGTGCTTCGTGGAATGTGCTTGTTATTATGGTAATACCTTCTCAAATACTGCTCGAACCCGCTTAAGAATGTCAGGTATACCTCGTTCAGCTTCAGTTATTGCCAGTGGGCATAGTGGGAAGGCTGGGCATGCCATGGCAGTTAAGTTGAGGGGGTCTACAAACCTAGGATGCTGCCACAATTGGAACTGATCAGTATTATCCCCATTTATGAAAACTCAGAACCTCAATGCATTTTTTTTTTTTTTTTGGGGGGAAAAGAATACCCAAAGAACATTTTTATAATAGACACCACATGTCTCAAACAGTTCAAGTAAACTAAGAACCAATAAGTTAAACTAACAATTGTTTTCTTAAGTCCCGATCACTCTCCGAGTTTAAAAGATTCAAACAGAGAATAAAGAAAGATATCCCATGAGATCAATGGAGCCTCCATGATTTTACCCTCTAAATCCTATCATAAAATCATTTGCAGCCAACTATATTAATGCAAAAAGCAGTAGAAGAATCAATATCTAACGCAAAATAATTCACAGCATCATTCCAGATGGACAACACAGCAGGTGAATCAGACATGCCATCCTACTGAGTTGTAAAGGTTCACTTGGCGGTGAAATTTATTTCACAGATTAGGAGTAAAATAAAGAAAACACATCTTACCAGCAGCCCGGCTTTTGCAAGAACTGTGGTGATGGGACGCTTCCATGCACTGCGAATATCACATAATATGATGTTCTGGTTGGGTGTGAGCCTTACACTCAAGTTATACTTTTCTATAACCTCTCTTAATGCCTGCTTCATAACTCCCCCAATCCGACCATTATCGACATGAAGCCCACAATAATAACTGCCGTCACCCTATCAAATAAAGATATAAATAGTCAGGACACAGCGCTTTGCGATATGAAACATAAGATGGAATCAAAGACATTCAATTCTATATGTGAAAACCAACAGAACGAACCTGCTTGTGCCATCCCAAGTGACCTTTGAATTCCCACTCCGGCAACTCACGGAAAGGCTCAAATTTCTTTCCGTAATACTGTTCCACTACACTTCTGAACTTTTCAATCCCCCATGAGCTGATCAAATATTTCATTCTACTATACCTCCGATCATCTCTTCTCCCATTTTCACGTTGTGTAACAACTATAGCCTTAATGGCATATAGGATATCCTCTTTAGGGACATAACCCAATGGCTCAGCCAGACGGGGAAAAGTGGATTCCATCCTATGTGTCCTTCCCATACCACCACCAACCTGCAGAGGAAATAATCAGAAATCATGTTTTGTGGAGAAAATTAGCTCAAATATAAACATTGGAGCATAACTTCATCTTACATATAGGTTGAACCCTTGAGGCTCCCCGTTATCATCAGTAACAACCACAACACCAATATCATTTGTGAGAATATCCACCGAGTTGTCTGTTGGCACCGTAACTGCAACTTTAAACTTCCTGGGCAAGAACTGAGTTCCATAAATGGGCTCGGGTGAATCAGGGAAGTTTGTTCCATGAGTATTATCATTGCGGGCCTTTGTTACTTCAGGAGGCTCTGCGGTCAGGAACTTCTCTCCATCCACCCACACATCATAGTAAAATCCAGACTGTGGAGTCAGCAATGCTGCAATGTTCTCTGCAGTCTGCTGTGCACAAAGGTAATCCTTTCTTTGTATTGGAGCGGGAGGAGCAAGAACGTTTCTGTTAAGATCGCCACAGGCGCCAAGAGTTGAACCCATGCTTCTAATGATACTACTCATTACAGTCTTTAGATCCTTTTTCAGAACCCCATGGAGCTGAAACGTCTGTCTGGTGGTCAAACGAAGGGTACCAATTCCAAACTGATCGGCAAGATCATCCATGGTCAAGTACAGTTGGTTTGACACTTTCCCACAAGGGTTTTTGGTACGAAGCATAAACGAGTAGGACCTTCCACCACGTTCATCTCGGTTATATTGTTGATAACTCCCATGGAACTTAATGAGTTGTGTAGCAGCCTCATTAATGTTCGGGGCATCCGTCAAAATCTCTTCATCAAGAGGGTATCGTATGAAATTGCTCTGTTCTTTGAATATCTCAACCTTACTCCGCTTCGTCTCAGGCTTTGCCGGCTGCAAAACACAGAACCTATGAAAACAAGCACATTTCCTATAAACAACTAACAACAAGCAATCTAACTAGCATTCGTTACGCATTTTCCCCTCGGGGCCTAATGTTTCGCCACCAATTGACGAAAACTCAAGAAAGTAATGCATTTGATGGAGATTTGATGAACTTAAATAATTTTTGTAATAATCAAGCATAAAAATAGCCAAAAAAATGCTTTTTACTTGTTCTCGTTTAAATTGAATAATTCGCATTAACCCATGTTTCGATAACTCGGTAAACAATTTTGACAGTGACGGCTGCAGTAATTTACAAAATTAAATTCAAATAATGAAAGCCCCAATCGGCCAAACATTTGAATCAAAGTGCTTAAATTGAACCACATTTTGGCTCAATCTCTCACAAAAGTACATTAATTTATCATCTTTCTTACAATTATTCATTTTCTCGCATTTTCTGAGCAAACAAACAGATGCCAAACAAAACAGAGGGAGGATCAGGAGTTCGAAAACGCACCGTAGCGACGGCTCGAATGAGCGAAGAGGAAGAAAAGGAGGAGAGAGGCACGTGTCGGCTTCTGGTGAGGCCAAGCGAGTTTGTTGAGCGCAGCCCCTGGTACCTCCCAATCTGCACCTTCGGCTCCCCCAGAACCGCCGTGTTCGCACCTCCGAACGGCGTCGTCGTCATACCAACCAAAACGACTGCGCTTCGAGAGGTTTAAGAGTTCAGAGAGTGAGAGCGAGAGAGAAGATATAAGCTGTTGAGTAGCGTTGTGGGGATTGAGTGGTGAAGGAAGAGAAGGCAAAAGCCGCCTTTTCTTTTTATTTTTTTATTTCGCACTATGAAATTTTTCTATATTATTTGTGTTTTTCTAAGATTTTGTCGTACGCGCTGACGCGAAATTTCACGTGCCTACCACGGGAACTGAGGAGAGATGTTACGCGCCGGAGGCGGAGGAGTGGGGCGCGTGGAGTTTATCTTACAGAAATGCGAAAGCAGAGTTTGATACCTGGACGGAATTGTGTGTTTTTTCGGGTTTCCTATTTTACCATGGTCAAATGTAGAATGGCAGCGAGGTGAATTGGGTTCGGATATATCATTCCTATACCCAAATTCGATTATTTCTGAATTCAAAATCGTAGACTGAACAGATTTTCTCTATAATCAAACTTGTCGGGTAATGGATTTTTCATCGAAAAACGGTTTTCCCTTTATAATATTTATTTATATCATTAATTAAATAAAGAATTTTAAATAAAAACGATATGAAATAAATAGTTTTTAATAATACATTTGCTACAATGCATCTAATAAGTAATATTAAATATTTATGTTACCAAGAAAACATTTACACTCTTAAAAGTTATAAACATATAGTTTAAGGAAAATTAATAAAAAAAACTTCAAAATTTTGCATTTTAATAAAAAAATCATCCAATAATTTTATTTAATGATAAGAACAAGAAAAATAAAAATAAAATATCAAACAAAGCGCCACACGTTCTCGCATGTACAGACTGGGCCTGCATTCTTCTCTTTACCCTAAATAAAACCCTAGAGACCTTGATCAACAACTTGTGGGTGTGGTTTATTTATTTGTTAAAGGGTTAATCTTAATTTACTATTCTTGGTTTTTCAACATTTGGTAGATATAGTATTTTTCATTCCATAAAGGCATTTTAAGTCAAAATTTTGGGACAATTTCATCATCCATTAAGATTGCTATTAAATTAGACGTTAATTGGTGACATGGTATATCTACATGAACACTGATTGGGCGTTACATATCAATCTGGCTCCACTTCAACATTAAAAAATTTAAAAAGCTTTTTTTTTATCACTTGAAAAACAAAATTCCTTTTGTTATTGTCGTTCGATCTGCCCCTCATTCCTCCCTCCCCAATCCCCTCCTCCATTCTCTCCTCCGCTCTAGATGGATAGTCAGATGTGCAAAACCCTAGGAAATTACCTTCTCTTCTGTCTCTCCGTTATGTGCAAAACACTTGGACTTAAATTGATGATGGGTGATGGTTTCCCCAGACTCGCTTTGGACTTGGATCGATGATGGGTGGAACGCGGAGGAGAGAAGGGATGAGGGGATTGGAAAGGGAGAGAGTGCCAGATCTAACGACAGTAACAAATTTTTTTTTTTTTTTTCAAGTGATAAAAGAAAGTTATTTTTAGTTTTTAATTTTTTTTAATGTTGAAGTGGGGCCAGATTGACACGTGACTTCCAGTCAATGTTCACGTAGGCGACCTGTCACCAATTAACGGCTGATTTAACAGCAACCTTAACGAATGTATGAAACTGTCCTAAAATTTTGACTTCAGGTACCATTCTAGGATGAAATTTTTTTTATGTACCAAATGTTTAAAATCAAGAAGCTTGAGAGTTGTAAATTGAGATCATAAAATATGAGTTTTATATAGGCCCTGCCTAATCAACAAGAATTCTATCAAAGGCATAGTAAACTCCAGGAAGGAAATTAAAAAAAAAAAAAAAAAAGTGGTCGCCATTTGATCATGCAACTTGGCAAAATATAACTATATGCATACGTTGTCAATATATGACTAAAATCTAATGGTCTTTTTCTTCTTACATGCATGATCCAGTCAGTCAGAATATAAGAGTTGGCCGTTTAAGTTCACGCAGTCGTGGGGCGAGTTTTGCACATGTACAATATGAAAATGAAGTTGTTGATGAGGATACATAACTTCACCACCTTTCATAGACAATCGAACTTGCATGTAGACATTTATTCCTCCCCGAATTCTTATATTCAAACCGAGGAAGTGTTGGTGCTAAGAACATATAGGATCGGAATCAACAGTGTGCAATTTCAGAAATAGTGTAATAATCATGTTCAGTTCAGAAATAGTCAGTTTCATAAATAGTCAGGTTAAGTTTAAGAAATAATGATACTATCAGTGCTTAGTTTAAAAAAATAGTAGTAGTACTTGTGTTCAGTTTCAAAAATAGTCAATGCATGCCAACTTGTGTTCAGTTTCAGAAATAGTGCCTGTATTTAGTTTCAAAAATAGTATAGTACCTATGTTCAATTTTAGAATTAATGTAATATTCGTGTTTATTAGTTCAATTTTCAAAAATAGTATAGTACCGTTCAGTTTCAAAAATAATGCAGTACCATTAAGTAGTTTCCAAAATAGTGTAGTATCTTTCAGTTTCAGAAACAGTGCATTACCGTTCAATTTCAGAAACAATGTGTATTATTAGTTTTCTATTTTATTTATTATTATATTATTTTTTTAATCTTTTTCATTAATTTAAATCTTTTTCATTAAAGTTTAAGCCATTTTGTCATTTTCATTTAAATTTAAGTTAGGGGTAAATTACATAGTAGCCCCTCAGGTTTGAGGGTAAATTACAACCTCATATAACAACTTTAAAACATTTCACTTTCATACATCCAATACCATTTTATTTCAAAATAACACCTCTGTTAGATTTTCCATCCATTAGTCTGTTAAATGCTGACGTGGCTGCCACATTTGTGCCATGTGGCAAAAAAATTAATTTTTTTTAAAACCTGAATCTTCTAAAAAAAAAAACTAACTCATCTTCCCCTGTTGCTCTGTTCCCACTTTCTGCTTCGTATTCACTCTCCTCTGCGCTCTCTCTCTCTTTCTCTCTTCTTCCTCTCCAATCCTTCTCCTTCTTCCTCTCATCCTTCTTGCTCATCTTTCATTTCCCAAAACGCCCATCTCTCTCCCCAAAATTCCCTCAAAGTCTGCCTAGCAGACCTCCCCAGATCCTTCAACTATGGCCTCCTCGAAAAGTATTAGGCTTCCAGCCCAGATTCCTGCCTTCAAATGGACACCGACCACCAAATCCCTGATGTGGCGGCTGTTGCTGAAGCTGGAATTGATGCCCGAGGTGGACCCCGCGGTGAGGCAAGCGAGTAGAAAGGTGAGTCGTCGGATAGTGGGGTTGTAGGAGATCGTGGACCTTCACCTTGGAGTCGATCTCGTTAGATCGTGTCACCTTTGAGGAGGAGCATGATGGCAGGTGATGAAGAGGTGGGGGATGATCTCGGCAGATCTGAAATGGGGAAAGTCAAATTTGAATCAGAGAAAAGTGGGGGAGAAGAAGATCTGGGCGTTTGTTTGGATGAGATTGGGTGGGGTTTTTGATGGGAAGGGAGGTGAAGAGAGTGGAGGAGAGGGAGGTGGGCTGGGGTGGGGGGGTTGGGGTGGGATGGGGTGTTTGGGTTGCAGGGAAGGGGGAGGGCTCGGGGAAGAAGATGGGTAGGGAAGGGTTGCGGGGAAGGTGAGGTGTGGATCCTGCGTTTTTCAGTTTTTTTTTTGTTTTTTGTTTTTTGTTTTTTTTGACAAGATTCAGGTTTAAAAAAAAATTTAATTATTTTTTTTGCCACGTGGCACACATTTGGCAGCCACGTGGCATAAATGTGGCAGCCACGTCAGCATTTAACAGACTAATGGATGGAAAATCTAACGGAGGTGTTATTTTGAAATAAAATGGTACTGGATGTATGAAAGTGAAATGTTTTAAAGATGTTGTATGGGGTTGTAATTTACCCTCAAATCTGAGGGGCTACTATGTAATTTACCCTTAAGTTATTTTTTATTAAATAAATTTTGACCAAATCTTTTTCATTAAAGCTCCCTATAATTTATACTATTAATGGTCTAAAAGCAAATAATTAATTTTTATATTTAATAGAGCATGATTTTTAACAACTCCTTTCCATATAATAAATATTTATATTTTTTATTACTGAATGAAACGGTGTGGTTTTGGGTATGGGCTCTGGCATCCCTTTTAACCATAAATCGAACTCGAAACCAAAAAACTTACTTGACGGTTACCCATAACTATATTGTTCGAATCGGTTACTCTTGGGGATCAAATTTGACAGGTTAAATTGCCATCCCTAAATGTGGCTATGGTTATCAATAAAGCGGTTGGGTCAGATCCAACCTACAACTTTGAGGTCTTGAGAAATGCTAAGGAGACATTCTCAAATTGAGATTTTTTATGTACTCTTCGCCGTCTCATGTTTTTGACATAATATTTTATAATATTACATGAAATCGTGTGGAGACTGATGCATCCATATTATACCATGTATTTTACCCTAATCTTAGTATTAATTTATTGGTTATTTTGGTAGAATTATATTTTGTTATATATTTTCAATGTAGGACATTCGACTTTCTCTAAAGCAAAAAGTGATCAAACGGATGAATTTTGGAGTGATTCCACTTGGAGGATGTTCGTGTGCCTTTCAAGATGATTGTATCAAAATTTCAGATTTTTCTATCAAGCCGTTTGACTGTGGCGATGAAATTAAAGCCCAGCGCGCAGCTTTCCCAACGTTTCTGGACGTTTTGGGTATTTTAGAGGTCAAGGTGGGGTATTTTGAGGAAAATTCCTTCTGAGAATTTGTAGGGGACGTCTCCAGATTTCAAAAGAGACATTTTGGGACCGAATTAGAGTTGATTTGGTTGGTCAAAAGTCTAATTTTCTGAGAACTCCGAATTCTAGTTCAAATAGGAAACCTTTTATTTTCTGTTTTATTATTTAATTATGTTTCCTAGTTTTATTCTAAGACCTTTTCAAGGTAGGGTTTTATTTTCTAGTAGTATAAATAAGGCTTGTTAGCCATTAAGGTTCTCTACCCAACATTGAAGGAAGAGAATGCAGTCACTAGTTGGAGAATTGCTTTTGACAATTCAAGTTTATTTTCAAAGTGTTTTCTATCCTTTTTCTATTTCAATAAATTCCTTTTGTTTTATGGTTGTTCGTAACTAATTTACGTTTGCTAGGG